ATGCTGCGGGCGTGAGGGGCCGCAGCCCTCGGTGTAGCCAGGGCCCTTTGTTCTAACATGTCCGCCCCGCTGGCGGCGGCCGCTTGCTCGCCAAACGCCCCAACCTGGACGGGGCTTCTTCGGTCTTGTGCTGAAGATAAACCCCAAAAGGAAAAAATAGTGGAGAGAAAGGTGAACGTCCGTGGACGAATGCAATATGCACCTGCGCGCCTCCTTTGAGGACTCGGCTGATGGCAGCAGTCTGCTGTCCTGTCAGTGCTGGGCCAAACCCCTGCCCCTGCTGTGATACAGCTTTTGGGGGGCAGTCCAGTACGGCCGCAACGCTGCGGATGTGCTACGAGTGCCACGTAGGTAACTCAGCCCTTTCGTTAAAGATTTCTCCTGCTTTTATTTAAATTGCAGGTGGATCATGCAGCTGAGTAAGGAAGTAGGAAAGTGAAATGAGACAACTGACACAAGAACGGAGGGAAATAGTCCAGTTGATACTTGGATGCGTCTCCTTACAGTCCGAATCTCTCCAAGGGAGAAACAAGAGTATTCAGAGAGTCCCTGAAATGAAACTCAATAGCAACAAAGAATAGCATGGGAGACCTTATTGCTCTCTACAACTACCTGAAAGGAGGTTGTAGAGAGGTAAGGTCGGCCTCTTCTCCCTAGTAACAAGTGATAGGACGAGAGGAAATGGCCTCAAGCTGCACCAGGGCAAGTTTAGGTTGGATATTAGGAAAAACTTCTTCACTGAAAGAAAGGGCAGTCAGGCACTGGCACAGGCTGCCCAGGGAAGTGGTTGAGTCTTCATCCCTGGAGGTATTTAAAAGACAGGGAGACATGGTGCTTAGGGACATGGTTTAGTGGTGGGCTTGGCAGTGATAGGTTAACGGTTGGACTCGATGATCTTAAGGGTCTTTTCCAACCTTGACGATTCTGTGATTCTATGAGGTTACTGTTAAGCAGGTATCCTTTATTGCAGCGCTGGGCAGCACTGGGGATTCTCCACCATAAGTGCTCCAATGAGTTAATGAATTTTTAGAGAATATATACTATACAATCATACATATTCATAGGATTTCCAGGAATTTGTTTACATAAACATGAGATTTCCAGAGACTTACTAGCATATGTAAATATCCAGTTCGCATGCGCAGTCATCTCTTGTGGTGGTCTTCAAGTGGTCTTTGGGGGTCTTCTCATAGTCTTCTTTACTGTGGTCGCTGATTGACCCTTGCTTCTGCGCAAACTCAGTCCTAGGATCACGTAGATGTTGTCCTTCAAGACTGTTGTTGCCATTCTTCTGTTTCTTCCTATCTTCATGGTTCCGTGCATCTGTTCTCCCGATCTAATTAAGTGACTAAGGTATTTACAACATCTTTCTTGCTCTTGTGGTTTTTAACCCTTTCACAGTCAGCTAAGTATGAAGTGGAGGATCAAGGAAGATCTGGTAAATCACAGCCATCAGTAGATCTGACTAGCTACTAGCATTAAGTAAGCCTGCAAAACAACTTCCTAGTCTTTTCTAAAATATCTAACTAAGCCAGAATGTATCTGTTGAGTAACTGTAGAAGTCGCGGTGAACACTTCAAAAACATTAATTGGAAAGTAGCTTTGTGCAAGACCTGTTACGAGAGCAAGACAATATCTACATGCATCAGAAAAACTGGTAGAGCTGTTCTTGGTAGGATTTGTAATTGTAGGGGGGGAAAGGTGTATTTTATGACTGATAGTGTTAATATTGCGCTAGTCGTATTTTGGCCTTGGTAGTGTTAAAATATCACTTTATAGTGTGTCAGTAAGTACAGCAGACTTGCACTAAAAAACTGAATAGGCAGTCTGTAATTTGATGGGATGGCTCACCATAGCCTACAATATTAATATACTTAAGTAGGCTTTCACTCGCAAAGAAGATATGAACTCTTTGAGAGCTATCATGAGATACAATTATTCAATAATAATGTGTATACCTGTAACTGACCTCTACTTCATTTACTGTATCAACATGCCCTTCTGCTTATGAGCCATGTATTAACAATAAGTCAAATAGAACCGGCTTCTGACTCAGAAGCAGCTCCCGGAACTGCACTGACAGAAACATGAAGCAGTGGAGGGAGGTCTCTCATCTTCTTGACTGCCACATTATTCATCTCAGCTGCTGTAACAGCTTTTCTTTCACCTCTCAGCACAGTTCTGCCAGCAAGCCTGATGGTTTTAATGTAGTAATCCTGCAATGTTGCTGTATTGTCTGAGCCGGTGCATTTTTGTTCTAAGGCACCAGAAAATAACTGTGTGCTACGCTCCTTATCAGACAAAACTGTGCTTGCTTCTGTGGGAGAGGTGACAATTAGCCTGTCACAACATTAGGTATCTGATGTACTACTCTGGTGCTGCTAACTGATTTCATTAGAGATGAAATGATGTAACTGAAAAAGAACCAGAACCTGTGTTTTGTATTGCAATTTTAAAACAGGTAAATGTTTCTTTAATTTTCCCTCCTTCTAGTGCTTGTCTCCACTCATTCACTGTAGAGATTATCTGTTTTCCTAACAAACTCTATTAAATAATCCCACGGAAGACTATCGCTATACTATGCAAATGGTTTTAGTAATATTCTCTAAAAAGCTATGTCAAATTACGTTGTGTGATTATTCAAGGTATTGTATGGGTTATCATTTTCTTTTAGAGCAAACTAAGAGCTAGAAAGAATCTTGGGTCACTAGAGGAATCATTGGTCAAACCAAGAATTTCTTCATTTTGGGATTGTTAGAAAAGCATTCTTCCTTGTTTTAAAATGAATACATCCAAGCAAAACCTCCTTAGAAGTTTCCAGTGTTTTCTAGGATTTTGCAGAACAAACTGTCCTATTTTCAACATTTTTTCAGTGTTCCGATTTAACTACAAATTATTTCAACATTGGAAAGATTAGCAACACCCTAAAGGTGATGTAAGTCCTCAAATACTGCTTCAACAGCACAAAATTTAAAGATAGTTACGCTGAATTTATGAATTGTGGTTTGGTTTTCAGGTTTGTACACAGGAAAACCTTGACCATTTATGAAATATATTGAGATTTCATTTAATTGCTGCCTGAAACACGTAGCATAAAATAGTTCAAAACTGTATCATTTGCTGCTGTGCACTTGCCATTACCTTACGGTCAATCCTCTCCCCAGAATAAATAACGGCCTTTCTGTCGTAGAGCACTACCAATGCCAAAGGCTTGGTATGAATAACTGAGAAATCTCTCCCAGTCTCTGTTTAAACAATAAATAGAACCTCCTCTAAGATGAATACAGTGTTGTATTCACGGGATTAACATGAAGTCAGCTGATTTCTTTTTCTTTGGAGCGGTGCCCAGAATCTTGCGCTGGTATGGTATCAGAGGCCTGCCCTGGGAACTGCACAAGGGTATTTTGAGTAACTCCACAGTTCTTGCTCTGGTTTAAGTATCTCACTGGTGTTGACAGTTACGTATTCTGTTTCTCTGAATATCAGAAAACATTGTTAATCCAAGAATAACTCTTCCCTCACTCGCATAAAATACACTTACAGGGTTTGTTGGAGGTTCAATAAAATGTTTAAATTTTGAGGAGATAGGCCAAATTAGAGAGGGTATTAAATAGATAACTTTCTAATAGCATCGCCTTCTAATTAATTTGTAATAAATGATTTCCTGCTTCGGCCCAGAACCAATTTCTGTGGAATTTTTTGGTTGTACATACCTGAATTGTTGTCATCGGCAGCCCTGTATTAACAGGGGGGAAGGCGCAGCACTTACTTGACAGATCAGGATAGTGTCTTTTGGTTGGGTGATGTGTAGCAAGACACTCTCAGTAGAGATCAAGTTCTGCCATTAGTAGGAAATGGGTAACCAAAAGATATGTCAAAGCTGAAGAGGTCTGGGCCCTAAATATACATGGAGATTAAAAAAATAATAATAAAAAAAATTAAAAAAAAAAAAAAGCCAAAAGGCTGTATTGATCCTTCATTCAGTTATGTCTAAAGAGATGAAAAATAATTTTTGAGTATCTCAAGAGAGGAGTATAAATACCCATTATTGCACAGTAACTGGTTTTGATTCTAAGAAGTGCAGTAGTATTCCTTTCAGTTAGGAAAAAATCAAGAAAACATTACATATTTTTGCGAAATAGCTTATTTTGTCCTCTGTATTCACTGTGTGGCTTTAGGCCCTATTTAACTCATGCTGTAGGAATCTCTAGTGCGGTTACCTGGGAGACAAAATGCTTTGCAATTATTAATGAGTTTACTTCCGTGTCTTTTTCTGTTGAGACTGTGCAGTCTTAGAAACAGCCAAAACAAAGGCAGACCAAAGCAAAGTCATCAGCTCTCTTCCAGCTTGGGGTGCATTGCTCCCCAACATTTGGATGCAGACTTCTTAGTGTGTTTAGCTTTATACTCTCTTGATATGTTCAAAGCTTCAGTCATTCTCAGCTGCAGTTCTTGGTACTTGTTACTTCTGCAAATCATCTCTCATGTTGCAATTTGGGAATTCCAAAAATAAGAAACTAGGGCTGTTTGGATGCCTGTCAAAAGTTTGATTTCAGTGACTTCATAGATCCACTGTGGGAAGCAGGGATAGGATCCGTCTCCCAGAGTGACAGTCTTCTGATTTCTTGGCGTGCTTGGGGTCCCTTCCCTCCTTTGCTATATGAATTTCAAAGGCCTGTACACACTCACACAAGTATCCAATACCTTTCCTGACTTAAGCCAGTCCTCTATAGGCTTGCTGGGGGGAAAAAAAAAAAAAAGTAATCTAAACCTATTGAATAAAAGACCCTAAGGGTTATCAAACAGTTGAGAAACAGTAAAACAGGAGGTTAATATGAAAAATTCAGTACTGTTGCTTCTACTCTCTTCTCTGCAAAAATAAAAGTTGAAGTTGCTTATCACAGCTGTAACCTGCTTATTCGTTAGCTTCTGCCCGCCCCCCTTGCAGCTAGTTATACCTACGTAGTCTTGTTCAGATCCCTGAGGTGCTTGCTGGACAATTCTTCAACCGCTGCTTTCAATGGCAAGGTCTACTTCATCTTTTGTTGTGGAGGCTGTGGTTAAGCAGCCTCTGCTATATTTGCTTGCATTTGTTTTTCTTATTTATTCTAAATCGGTGTTGGGAGGGGGGGGCGCGGTAAAGGCAATAACTTTCTCAGAAAAAAAAAAGTAGAATATAGCCAAAACACAAAAAAGAGAAGTAAGAAAGGGTTCCTAATCTGGTGATGCAATGAAGTGAGAAACCCACACCTACAGTTCTTAATTCTTCTGAGCAGCAGATTTCTGTAAAGCAGACTGTGGTCCCTACTTCTACATCATTATTGTTTAATAGTATCTTTCCTTAATTTGTTAATACATTTTTTCTAGTTCACTGAATAGCTTCAGCTCCCTAAAATTCCTTGTACTCAGTCACAGAGAATTTGAAGGGGTGTCTGAGGAATTAAAATTCACAAAATCCATACTGTTTCTATAGGCCTGAATCATACAAAGAGGTAGAGGTGCTCAGGATTGGTCTTTAGGTAGCTGGATTCCCCATATAAGCCACAGGAACATTAAGTGCCTTGGACGGGGGTCTGGCGCGCTAACTGCATGCTCTTTACAAGGCGTACCAGGTGCTACTGGAGAGAACTCGCTCTATATGTGGTTCACAGCTCTGAACCTCTCCTGGAGGTAGGGGGCCCAACCTCTTTTGGCAAAACCGAAAGCAAGGTTCGCGTCTGTGGTCGATGAGCCTCTCTTACAATGAAGTCGGTGCTCGGTAAGAGACCACAATTCCCTCTGCTGCCTGAAAGGTGACAAGCCTCAACCTCCCAGCTTAGAAGAGGAGGAAGCTCTGGGCTGTACTGGAGGCCTCCACAGCTGTTCCCGTGAAAGCTGTTCTGCCTGGCTCCCCAGCTGGAGCGTGAAGCATTTGTTTCTCCTGTGAATGGGCCTCAATTCATGATCCACACATCTTTAAAATCTATAAATAATCACCAATTAAGAATACTGAAATAAACCTTGGAAGAAGGGCAAGGACCCAAACCTGTTTGTTTCTCAGAGAATGCTCTAACTCTTTGGCTTTCATCCTTCATGCATGGTAGAGCAGCTTCAGCAGAAGGGTTTGAGAGTCCCCCTTCCCTGTGGCAGAGCAGCCTGGAGCCCACACTGCAGGACTGTGGAAACATGGACCCGAAGCTCCTGAAAAAGAAGGAGGTATGATTGTGTCTGTGATACCGCATGCACTGTCTGCAGTTACAAGAATAACAGCAAAGCTACTGGAATGAAAGTGATGGCAAGTGCTGTTTTTTTCAAGTGACTAAAGGTTGAGC